CACTGGTATGTGGGTGAGGGCATGGAGGAGGGGGAGTTCTCTGAGGCCCGTGAGGACATGGCTGCCCTGGAGAAGGATTATGAGGAAGTGGGTGTGGATTCTGTTGAAGGAGAGGGTGAGGAAGAAGGAGAGGAATACTAATGCATCCTGTAAACCCCTGGATCATGTCAAACTCCCAGAACTTCAACATTAGCTGACAGGCAGCACTGATGATGCTTCTGACCGTGTTACCTTCAATTCTGTGATCATGTCTTCTCCATGTGTCCCTGTATGTGTTTTCCATGATGTCTCAAAGTAAAAGCTTTAAGAAAATTGGTTTCTGTATACTTTTTTGTTTGGTATGAGTATCCTGTGTCCCAGACCAGCCTTACTTAATCCTACAATCTTGATGCCCTGGGGTAGTAATCACTATCACTCACCGATTGAGTGCTGCTTGTGTGTCAGGGGAGCACTGGACAGTGAACAGCATTCCCTAACTACTGTGCTATTCTAAAGTCACGATGCTTGGGAAAGTCCATGTGACATGTTAGTGACCCAGACCCCACACTACCAAAATGTCCAATGATCCTTGAGGCTGGCTTGGTACAAGCCTTTAATACCTGCACTTAGGATGCAAAAACAGTTATAGGCCAGCTGGAGCTACACAGTACTGGGAAGTGTGTATTGAGAACAATCTTGAGGGTGATGGACAGCCCTGTTTGAGGATTATGACCTATGGAACAACATAAGACCTGTGTTCAATGATTGGTGCCCAAGTCTCCAGAGGTGTAAATTAACAGTGGTCGTCTCTTACCAAGAAAGAACCAAAGAATACATAGTCCAGTCTCCTGGTAAGGGTTGCGTTGCAGGCAGTGGGAACGTGTGTCAGTGTTAGGACTCAATTTACACCACTAAGCGTGAGGAAATTTGTACTTGAGATGGTGCCAAAGGCCTCACGTGCTGGGCAAAGGCTGCACCTCTTTCACTTTGAGATGGTCTCATTGCCATGCTGGTCTTGCTATCCACTCAGTCTGTAGCCCAGGGCTGCTTCCACCTCCAGAGTGTGAGATTAAAGACACGAACCTCTGCCAGAAGTAAAAGCTGGAGGATCAGGAATACAAGGCTAGCCTGAGCTACAGAAGACCCTGTCCCAAGAAAAAATGGAAAACAAAACCACACAAACTAGGTGCGGTGGCTGAGTAAGTTAAGGAAGAGTGCCTCAAGAGTGAGAAGCAGCAAGTCTACCCTACTCAAGCCCCGCATCCCAGTGAGGTGCTATCACAACCACCAAGGTAGGGCCTACAGAGATGAGAGGACAGTGCTTATTCAGAGGACCCAAGTTCACCCAAGCAGCCATATCTGTTGGCTAACTGCAGCTCCAGGGAGGACTAACCCCTCAGACTTCTGACACCAGCACTCACGTGACCCACTCACATACTATAAAAATCTAAAAAAACCTAAACGAGGTGGACAACTGAAAAACGCTGAAGTTGACCTCTGGCCTCCACACATGCTCACACTTGTGTACGATCATACACATCCACACATGCGTACAGAGAACACATCTTTTTACAAGGGGGATTGTGTCAGGGTGGTGCTGCAAACCTTTAATCTCAGCACGCAAAAGGCAGAGGCAGGTGAATTTCCGATTTCAAGGCAGGCCTCTTTCACACTGAGTTCCAGGACAGACAGGACTGCACAGAGCCTGTCTCAAAACAACAAATTTAGGGATTGCAGGCCTGTGTTTGTAGCTCGGTTTGGTAGGTGTCTGCCTAGTGTGCACGAAACCCTGAGTTCGATCCCTAGCTCTGAACTCCACCTGGCATGGGGGCTGAGGCCTAAACTCTCAGCACTCACAGGGTGGAGGCCGGGATCAGAAGTTGTTCAAGGTGCAGTACCTGGTAAAGCCTGTGGTGTACTGAAGGCTCTACAAAGAAGAAATCAGGGTGATCCCCCTCTTAGGCCAACTTTTTTAACTTTATCCTTCTTAGGCCGATCTTTAACTTTATCCTTCTGACTCAGCTTCCCAAATCTTAGCATTACAGGCAAGTACAACTGCATGTGGCCATCTTAGGATCTTTACTGTTTAGTCAACATAAACTTCAACATTTTATAACACACACACATTCCTTACAGCCCTGGTCCTCCATAAGCACTTCTAGAGAAGGTGAGTCCCAAAGACCTATCCCTAGGGATCAGAGAAGGTGAGTCCCAGAGGCCTATCCCTAGGGATCAGAGGTGAGTCCCAGAGGCCTATCCCTAGGGATCAGAGAGACTTGACTCTTGTTCTGTCACGAAGCCCAAGACCTTCTGGGCCCGTTTATTCATTTGCACTACAGATTCTCATAACCACGCCTTGTTCGTAGGAGTTAACAAGTAGAGACAGACCCTGTTGGTCCTGGAAGCTTACGAGCGGAGCAGGAAATAGTTCCCTCCTTCGACCGTATGGATTCTGGGGATCACACTTAGATGATCTAACTTGACATCTCATTGGCCAAAATATTTGCCAAAACAAAACAAAACAAAAAAACAACAGGCAGGGCCGTGGTGTCGCACGCCTTTAATCCCAGCACTCGGGAGGCAGAGCCAGGCGGATCTCTGTGAGTTCGAGGCCAGCCTGGTCTATAGAGCGAGTTCCAGGGAGGGCTCCAAAGCCACACAGAGAAAATTTGTCTCAGGGGGAAAAAAAAAAAACAAAAAACAAAAAAACACACCACAACAACAGAAAACACACAATGCTAAAATGCATCCAGAGCTTAGCATTCTTCCCCTTCTTGAGGTCAGTATTAAATTGGGAAGACTCCAGGTGGTTCTTCATCTTACAGATGACAGATTTAATTGGCAAGGAAGAAAGGCAATGATACCACAGCTTTGTGATCTGCCTTAAATACTGCCTGTTAAGAGAGCAGAGGGAATATCAGTCTTTCAGCCTGAGGGGGAATCCATGCTGTGATCCAGGGTAGAGACTCAGAGTAAAAGAATTAATGGAGGAAGGCAGGAAGAATATTTTAGCCTGAGATGGCACTGACCCCTCCCAATCCCATAAAATGCCTAGCAAATTCCTTAATGCCCTGCAGATGGCACCACCGACAAGGAGTTCTCCCTCCAGGAGCTCCGAGCTGAGCTGTGTGAACTCTGCCCTTGCCATCACCTTGGAGCTAAGACTCAAAAAAATGCAACAAACAGGAAGTGACTGACAGGCATCCCTAGCATTCCCAGGCTTGTCAGTTTGTTCTGACAATTAGTGGAGGGAGCTGTGCCCGGTATTAGGTCACTGTGACTCAGGCAGCCAGAGGCAACGCCACACCCAAGAGGCGAGCTCCAACCTCCACCCCTCCTCCAGGACAATTGAAAAGCACGGCCTTGGGGTCCACATAAACTAGGGAGAGAATGTTGCTACATTACATAAACTCAATAATGATACAAAGTAATAATCACCGAGGATCATCTCGCTGCTGCTACTTCTGTCAGTATGTTGCTAAGACTAGCTTCCTCCTCTCCGCCACCTGGTCCACAAGCCACGCCCAACCGACAGCTTGCTGTATGCTACTGTGTTCATGTGTTCAGAATGAAAACCTTAAATAAGGAAGGCGGAGTCACGGGGCAGCGGTGGCACACGCCTTTGATCCCAGCACTCGGGAGGCAGAGGCAGGTGAATCTCGTGTGAGTTTGAGGTCAGCTTGGTTTACACGGTGAGTTCTAGGACAGCCAGAGTTGTTACACAGAGAAACCCTGTCTCAAAATACACAAACATACAAAACAAAAAACAACAAAAAGGCAGAGTCATGTTTACAATTGTGTGTGTGTGTGTGTGTGTGTGTGTGTGTGTGTGTGTTTGGTTTTTTTGTACTTCCCAGGGCCTTATACTAGCTTTTAGGCAACCCTTCTAACAAGAGAGCTACATTCCCAGCTCTTCTTTGTCTTTTTTATTGGTACTGAGGACGAAATTCAGGGCCTCATGCATACCAAGCAGGCACTCTTGTGCTGAAACAAATATAAAATGACAATGAGGATAATCTAAACAGGAGGTTTTTGATATCATCATTTAAAGAAAAGGACTTGGTTGGTACATGCTTGTAAGGTTAAGCATTCGATATAAGGCGGGAAGAACAGTTGAGACCTGCACAGGGAGTATTATGACAGTACACAACATGGATGTTTGCTGCTCAGTTCTGCTTTTGAAACTCAGAGGAGGCAGAAATCCCTTTGAGGGGTTGGAAGATATCTCAGTTGGGTATAAGAAGTAAATAGGGGTCTGGAGAGATAGTGTTACCAAACTTGGAGGTCACAACCTGTGCCCCAAGTCAGGTTCAGCCTCTTATTGTCCTCAGTAAGCCAATAAAAAGAGCCTAATTAATAAAGAGAGAAGATTTAGTCAATGTGAGTGCTGAGCTAGCCTAGGCTACCTAGGAAGATCTAGTCACAAAAGAAAAAAAAAGTTATTGTGCTTTCTATGGATTAGGAAACAGGTCACAGGTTGCTGCTGGGCTCAACCACTTTTACTAAGAGGTCTTTTAAATTCTTTGTTTTTGCTTGAAGTAAAATATATATACTATACAGTTCTGACCACTCGTTGTTTTGATACACTTTGCCTGTCTTTTCTTTTCTTTCTTTTTTTAATAGCCCTAGCTGGCTTGGAATTCACTATGTAGACCATGTCAAAAAAGATTGGCTTGTAGCCAGGTGGTGGTGGCTCACAACTTTAATCCCAGTACTGGTGAGGCAGAGGCAGGCAGATCCGAGTTCCAGGCCAGCCTGGTCTAGAAAGTGAGTTGCAGGACAGCCAAGATTGTTACACAGAGAAACCCTGTCTTGGGAGGAAAAAAAGATTTACTTTTGTTGGACATGTAAGTTTGAAGCCAGCCCTGTTTACATATTCCATGCCAGCTAGAGTCACACAGCAAGACCCTTTCTCAAAGCAAAGTGTGCATGTGCCCAAGGAAGGCCAGGCTGGAAGAGGGCACTGGATTCCCCTAGGACTTGAGTTACAGGTAGTTGTAAGCCACCATATAGGTGCTCAGAACTCAAGCCAAGTCCTCTGCAAGAGCAACAGGTGCCCTTAACTACGGAGCCATCTCTCCAGTTCCTGATGTTTTGCCTTTTCAAGTTCACTTCAGGCCAGGTGTACTGTACTTCTGTAGTTCAGCACTAGAGGCCAGCCTGGGTTCACAGTTGTCTCAAAAGAAATAAACAAGGCTCACATCGGTTCTCCACATCCCTAAGCTGTAAATGAAAAGTCTACTTAGATTCCATAACAAGGAGTGCCCGTGAAAATCAGAAGCAGGAGGACCTCTGGGAGTTTGAAGATAGCCCAGACTACATAGCACAGTTCT